TGAAAATAATTTCCAATTTCTATCAAAACATTCGTTAGGAATGGTTTTTCCATTGTTATAAGCTTGAATTTGTTCGTTAAACGCGTATTTCAAGCCAACTTTTCATTTGGAAGTGAAGTTATTCCAGAAAATGCGAAAATAATTCTATCTTACAATAATTTCAAATAATTTACTCTTTTACTAGACAGACAGTCTAGAAAGCAATTTTAAGAAGTATTTGGGTTGTTTTGCCGTCTTTAATGCGGTTTTCAATCAAAAATACGCCAGGAAATGAACTTGATGAAAATAATCTCCAATTTCGATCAAAACATTCGTTAGGAAGGTTTTTCCATCGTTATAAGCTTGAATTTGTTCGTTAAACGCGTATTTCAAGCCAACATTTCATTTGGAAGTGAAGTTATTCCTGAAAATGCGAAAATAATTCTATCTTACAATAATTTCGGATAATTTACTTTTTTACTAGAGAACAAGTCTAAAAAGCACTTTTAAGAAGAATTTGGGTTCTTTTGCAGTCTTTAATGCGGTTTTCAATCAAGAATACGCCAGGAAATGAACTTGATGAAAATAATTTCCAATTTCGATCAAAACATTCGTTGGGAATGGTTTTTCTATTGTTATAAGCTTGAATTTGTTCGTTTAACGCGTATTTCAAGCCAACTTTTCATTTGGAAGTGAAGTTATTCCAGAAAATGCGAAATTAATTCTATCTTACAATAATTTCGGAAAATTTACTTTTTTACTAAAGAAACAGTCTAAAAAGCAATTTTAAGAAGAATTTGGGTTGTTTTGCCGTCTTTAATGCGGTTTTCAATCAAAAATACGCCAGGAAATGAACTTGATGAAAATAATTTCCAATTTCGATCAAAACATTCGTTAGGAATGGTTTTTCCATTGTTATAAGCTTGAATTTTTTTCGTTAAACGCGTATTCCAAGTCAACTTTTCATTTGGAAGTGAAGTTATTCCAGAAAATGCGAAAATAATTCTATCTTACAATAATTTCGGATAATTTACTTTTTTACTAGAGAACAAGTCTAAAAAGCACTTTTAAGAAGAAAAAGTGGTTTTGCCGTCTTTAATGCGGTTTTCAATCAAAAATACGCCAGGAAATGAAGTTGATGAAAATAATTTCCAATTCACGAGTCAACAGGTGAAAGTCCAGCCAGAATCGTTTTTGGAAGAGAACTCAGGTTACCTTGCGATCTTATGTTTGGGATACCTGAAGAAGAACGAAAAGAAATTCGAGACTATGCCGACGAAGTAAGGGCACGACTTCTGGGTATCCATGATTTCGCTCGGGAGTATATTCAACTAGCCAGTGACCGGATGAAGACCAGATACGACCTGAAAGCCAATTCAGCCGGATTTCAAGAATGTGATTTGGTATGGTGTGGCTGTATAAGCCAGCTAGAAAGAAAGGAGTAGCGCCAAAATTGTCTTCAGCATGGGAAGGACCCTACAAAATAATCAAGAGGATCAATGATTTGGTTTATCGAGTCCAACGCAACACCAGGAGTAAGATGAAAGTTGTACATCTGGACAGGTCAACGAAATATCATGGGCGTGAAGTTGATCGGGACGATCAACCTTAAGAGGAGGGCAGTGCAACGGCCGCCAGTGTGTTAAGAATCGCATAGCAGATTCGAGGTTTTACGTGATGTTCGGGAACAACGTCGATCGCGGTTCTTCTGGAATTTACAGGAATAAATTACGGCTATATACAGTGTGATTTTTCAAGTGTGCAACATATGGGGATTTTTTTTAGTAATAGCACAACCCAGATACAAACAAGGTCCAAAAGTTGGTGCATGTCTGATAATCATATTAGGTGCACTTAGAATGGTTGCAAGTGAAACAGCATACAGGGTAGCTCAAACAATATCAAAGCTGTACTGTAAAGTACCCTTATTTTAGAAAATTCAGCAAAATGTTATAGAGAAAAGTTGTTTGGAATCAAAAGTTATGCCTAAATACCAAAACATAGCCTCCTAGGATGTTTTTTATTTTCTTTCGAAAAAAATCTATAATTTCTATATTTTTTTTATTTTTCATTTCCGCCCTTAATACTTTCAAAAATTAATGAAAATGAGATCAATTTCACATAACTTTGTTCAAATTGGAGCATATTTGTAAAATTAACTTAGATTTTTAATTTTTTATGGAATCACAAAATTTATGTTTTTTGCAATGATATTCAACACAACTTTAAAATGTCCCAATTTTTTTTTTAACAAGTTAAAACATTACTTATGATAATAGCCATATTAAAAAAACTCTCCTTAAAGTGCAAAAGTTTTATTTTATTTAAGTAAATATTAGTAAAATTTTGATATTTTTTGAGCCACCCTGTATGCTGTTTGACTTGCAACCATTCTAAGTGCACCTAATATGATTATCAGACATGCACCAACTTTTAACCTTGTTTGTATTTTGATTGTGCTATTACTAAAAAGAAATCCCATATGTTGCACACTTAAGTAATGACACTGTATAAGGACGGGGTTTAGCGTGCGGAAAAGTGTACTTTTCCGCACGCATTTTGGGTCATGAAAGTATCACTTTTCCCCACTACTGCTTTTCCGTTTTTTTCCGCACTCAGTGCGGAAAAGTAGAATACCTGAAATTTATAGGTATAAAGGTACTTACAGGTAAACAGGTATACTACAGGTACAGGTACGAAAAAGTGAATGAAATAGTACATTAAAATACAAGTTTCATAAGACGTCATTTTATCGCACGAGCCCTATATTAGAAAACGAGCCGGAGGCGAGTTTTCTAAAGGGCGAGTGCGATAAAATGTCTTATGAAACGAATATTTTATACTATTTTTTCTATTTTGATATTGTTTAATTAAGAAAAAAAAGTTTTTCTTGAACATTTTATTCTCATATTTCCTGATTTCATATGTTTAGGTTGGTAACACTTCTTGCCAAATATAGAAATCTTCTATTATAAAATCGCGAATGACAGTTCGATGGCCATCAGTCAGCCAGTGTTACCAACGTTCGATAAGTAAAAAAGGAGTGTCACAAAGAGCTTCTTTTCGAAACTACTTTTAGAGTCGAAAAGACTTCAATATGACACCAAAATAGAAAAAATATCTTAAATTGATAAATATGTGGTAAAAATATTACCTTTCATCTCATAGAAAAAATAGAGTTTCTAACTCGTGCGGAAAGTCTCTTTTCCGCACTAGTTAGGAAATATACTATTTCCGCAAACGTCAAAAACTGACTTTTTTAACCTCAATTCTTAATGTTGAAGTTTGACTTCACAGACGTCATTTTTTTGTTACCTACTTTTTTGTCCGCCCGTTCCGTGAGCGTACAAAAATAGTTATTTATGCACCTAGGTCAAAAAGTACAGCCCCGCAGCGTGTGTAACAGCCTGAGGCGTTAGCCGAGGGCTGTTTACACGCTGAGGGCGTTAAAGCTCTTTTTGACTGAGGTGCATACAAGATTTTATGCAAGATGAGCCTGTTTTCATTTTGATATTTAAAAAATTATATATTTTCACTTTTGTAATGACATCAATCAAAAATATTTCAAAATATAAATTTTCATCTTTACCGCAATACGTCCTAAGTTTTTGTCAAATTTAGATCAAGGAAGCAGTTGTTGACAAAAGTATCACGTAACTATTATAGCAACCCAGAACAATACAAACAAATAATTATGTGCTGTGTAGTGTACGTGTATGGTATTCTTATGATGGTAGTGCGTCTGAAAATGGAGCAAAATAGCATGCCCAAGTTTATTCTTGAGGCAGTTGAAGAGGCCAAGAAACATGTATACCTTCAAAGTCCAAAAGACTCTATGAAAAAACATATGAGGACTTTATTTCCTGATGTGCCCAACATAGTGTAAATGAGCAGCAGTACTTTGTAGAAGAAACTCTCCTGGCCTGGCATATACATTAATATGAAAAATGCAAAAAAAATAAGCCATCCACCCAATGGAGCTTTTACTCAATGTTGAAGGCAACAGTTCTTTTGTGTATTTATGTGGAAAAGGGCCGGTTTTAAAAGTTAAAAACTGTAAAAATTGTATTTTCAATTTCAAAGTAGATTGAATTTTACCATTATTGCTTATTTCATTATTCTTATTAATTGAAATAAAGCCTGTTTTGTTGAAAAAAGTTGGTATTTTTTGGACTAAGCAATAGAAATACAAAAAGTTTTAAAAAAAATCACGATTTTCTGAATTTCGGACAAAAAGTGACGTCAGAGAAATTTTCTAGATTCCATCGCTTGAACACCGTTTGCGGAAAAAATCGCATGTTTTATTCGGAGAAAAGCACTTTTTGTGGCTCGTCTAAAATTGTTGGCCTCACTACGTTCGGCCGTCAAACATTTAGTCTCGCCACGAAACGTATCACTTCAACTCCTAATAAAACAATATACTATTTTAGGCTTATTACGGGGCTGTTGGCAACTTGGATTTTGTGTTGTTTGAAGCGTAAGCGTATTTTTATCAGGACTGTGCCAAGCAGGACTTCAATGTTTTGAAGTATTTCTGGTGATAATTTCTTGCTTATTTTCACATTATTGAATCGTATCCTTTCCAGACGCTCAGCAAATTCCTCATTTTCAGGATCCATTTGTTATAGACTTTATTGATATTGGTTTCTTTTGTCTTTGTTTGACTAATAAAGGGTTTAACCATAAGATCAACCAGCTTTTTCAGGTCTGTTTGGTCAAGTTGACAACGCCGGAGAGGATTTTTAGACACGTTTTCTTGCCACGCAAATGTATGGATCTATATACTGACTATTTTCAGTAGAAAGGGACTTCAAGGTATTGTTTATTCTTTCATGAACTGATTTGAGACTGGTCAGTTCATTGTGAGTATGCAGCTAATCATTTTTGTGGTTGTGTGTCCTAGTGAAGTAAGAAATTGGTCAAACCTCTCCTATTTTTGCAGTGTTTAGTACTCTTGATGAATCCTGAATTAAATAATTACCAAAAATTATTGAAATATCATGAAAATTCAATTTTAAAACCTTTATTAGGTATAGTAAAGACGAAATACCGTGGCCGGTTTGTTTGTATGTATGTATCTTTTCGTGGAATTTAATCTGATACCGGCCAGGGTAAATTGACTTGCTTATATAAACAAAATATATAAAATTACAATTTGTAAATAATGCAATTAAATTTTAAAATATACAAACAATAATATAACACTTAAATATTAATATAAAAATAAAATAAAATTTATTTGGATACCAAAAAAGTGCAATTAATTAACTATCTAAGTTTTAAATAATAATTTGGAAAATGTATTATAGATAAAGCTTCTGTTATTACATATTATGGAATGAAATATTAAACAGCCTGGAAAATATTATTGGACAAAAGTTTAATTAAGACCAAACATCTTCAAATATTTATATGTATTATGTACTCACATTAAAATATATCAATTTTTTCAATTAGCAATTAGTTCAATAATATTGTTACATCCACGGGCTGCTAATTATTTCTCTTAACTAGTACCCATTTTGAGAACATTGAAACACACTTGACATACCCTAACAGGCTTCATATCGCCAAATTTAATTATAGGGACTTCTTGGTCGCTGCATTTGCTGCAGAGCGCTCTACCACAATGCCTACAGTGGTGGGTTCTTGACGTCATCGAAAAACCTTTACCGCACTCTTGACAGTTGTCAGTTTGAGCCCACGGAGCCGATTGAGCTAGCTGATCCAATAGTCTCGTTAAAAGTTGCTTGCTGGGCACCTGATAGTTGAAAATTGTTATTCGATCCGCGTTTTCTGTGGCTAGGCAGGCGTTGGCTTTAACCAGAACTCTGAAATAATGCGGATTTTCTTGAAACAACAAAATATTAAAATCAGTGGGAGAAAAGGAAGGGAAAAAAAGTTCTTTCTGTGTGTGAACCACAGGAAGACAGAGGACTTTTCATCAAGAGCGGAGGCTCAATTATAACTGTGCTATAAACCAATAGATTAAACCTGAGGAATGGAAACATGGTGGACCAAGAGACAACAGATAAATAGCAATGCTTAGTCAGGCACAAAGAGGTTTCGACAGCATAACAATATCAACTACGGCTATGGACGTAATGATGGGCTTGCCGCCACTAGACGATTTTGCTAAAAGCTACATTTTCCAAGAACTAAATGAAAGCTGAAAAGCTTCGATCATAGAGCATTGATTTTATTTTCTACAAAGTTAATGAAATAAGGCGTGATAGAAGAAGTCTAACCTTTAGACACTCCATAAAGCTCTTGGCCAAACGTTGGCCAAATATGACAATGCTAAAAGTATTAACAAACAAAATACAAATGCAACTATTTTTGCATATTATAAACCTAGCTTAAAATTTAGTCTCCGACTACGTTTTGAATACAATAATAATTTCTTACCTGCACAAATTCCCATTTCCTTTCATATAAGCCAACAACAACGGCGAATTTCCATAAATATCCGGAGTATTTATGGGATACTTGGGCATGGATTCTAAAAACAATTCACAAATGGCCGCTGCATTGTCCTTAGCGCACCGGCAAAGTTCGTGAAGCGGATTTCTTCCTTTAATATTCATATATTCAGCATCTATCGATGATTCAGTAAGTAGTACTCGAACTACATTCAAGTGTCCTTCTCTAACAGCTATATGTAGAGCATTATCTCCTGCCATATCCACAGCTTTATAGTCGGCGTTGTTTTGTAAAAGTGCTGACACAGCTGGAGCGTTGCCAGCTTCGGAAGCTATATGCAAGGCTGTATGTTTTTGTGAGTCTTTGTCATCGACTCTTGCACCTGCAAGAATTAGGCTTCTAACTAGAGTTTCATTCGCGTGTCTCGCTGCTAAATGGATGGGAGGAGTTAGTAGAGAATCTTGCACTCTAGAATTGACATCTACGTTGACCGTTAATAGAAAAAGAGCGCTCTCTATGTCGCCTTTTTTTATTGCTACGTGAAGGAAATTTTGACCTTTACTGTCGTATTGTTCAGCCGCCGAAGGGAGTTTGTCCAAGATGGATTGAGCTGCTTTGTTGTTCCTAAATAAATATAAAAATCAACAAAACTAACATAAATATATTTTTAAATGTGGCTTATTTTCTACTTATTCACCATAAATACCAAATGGTTAAATCATTTGTTCAGTTTTCTAAAACTTATTCAGAAATTCAAATACATACATAAATACAAAAGTAAGCTATTGTTATTTTTTAAAAATTAATTTGGGAAAATATTTTGGAACTGAATCTACCAAGATATTTTACACATTCTGGCAACTCGGCTTTCTGTTTCATTACCCTGAAATTTAAAAAATATTTCGTCATCAAATATGATTCTTATACGAGGGTCAACATGCCAAATTTCCAAGGACGATGCTACGCCAATAATATCTGACCAATGACATAGTTAGAAAAAGACAAACAAATAATACACAATGCAGAATTTCTCAATAGCTTTGAAAATTGTAAAAATGTATTTATAAATGACCCCATATTAAAACATCCTGACATTAAGAAACCTTTCTTATTGACAAGCCATGCCTCGAACTATGCAATTGGAGCTATTTTCTGTTTTATTTCAAGGTCCTGTCGGAGCTGATCTTCCCATTGTATACGCATCTAGAACCTTAAACCCAGCTGAATGTAGTTATTCAACTATTGAAAAAGAACTTTTATCAATCGTATGGGCAACAAAATATTTTCGACCTCATCTCTCTGGTAGTAAATTAATAATTTTGTCGAATCAGAAACCTTTACAATGGCTATTTAATGTTAGAGAACCAAGTTCTAAGTTAGTCCGATGGTGGATAAAATTATCCGAATTTGATTATGAGATGAAATACAAAAAAAGGAAAAAAACATTAATGCAGACGCACTATCAATAATTCCAGCAATACAACTTCATGCCATTCAAAAATCAGATCCAGATGCCAGACTAACATCTTCAAATGAAGAATTGCACAGAAAATTAGGAGAAATGCTGCAAGATACATCATTATGTTATGATGAAATCATAGCAAAATACTTTACAGGCTCTGAGGTATATCTTCCTAAGCACAGCGAGAAAGCTAAAGAAAAAGAGATAACAACGTCTGAATCATCTCAATCAACAAAAACAGCATCAGAAAAAGAACCTGAAGAGGAACCTAAGAAAGAAAGTCCCAGAATAATAATATTACGTCCAAGAAAGGAAAAGAAAGAAATTTCCATAGAAATAGGAGAATCTTCTTAAAACTCAAAAAAGTGAAAGACAAATAACACCTTTGGATGACGAACTAACAGTTTCAGCCCTGTCTGAAAATGAGCAAACAATACATACGTCTATGGAAAATTCAATATAAGGAGCTCCATATACCAAGAAACATGTAAATAACTATTAGGAATCAAATTGTATTTCGAAATTTCAATAACACAATTAGAAAAGAGATAATCAAACTATTCAAAAATATTATTACCAAATAATCCAACATCACAAATTACTTATGTAGTAAAGGAATACATACCACCTGGTATTTATAATCTTCATTTTCTGAATAAATCTTTAGAACCTATTGTATTACAAGCATTACAATAATCGTTTGATTCGAATTCATTTACCTCAACTCTTTGTTAGAAGATATCACAGAAGTTGATCTTCAACAAGAGAAAATTCAGCAATATCATGAGACTGAAACCTCTCATAGAGGAATCACTGAAAATATTGGCAGCAGAAAAGATTCTATTAGCCCAATATAGAGAAAGACGTGCAGAATTATGTCAAATTATTCGAGATATACAATAAAACCAAGTATGAACGACAACCATACAAAATCACATTTGAACCAACACCCATCGGTACGAAACCCTTTGAGCATATTTATATTGACACATGATCAATAACCAGAAATTTCTGACCATTATTGATAGCTTTTCAAAATTTGGTTAAGCCTCTCCTGTGCATACGAAAACAGCTCTAGAAAATAACATCATAGTTATTGAAATATTTTAGTGATTATGAAATACCTCAAAAAATCACATCAGATAATTTAGCAGAGTTCAAAAATGCTATAATGACAGATCTTTGTATATTATACTTAAATGAGTTTCATTCCACCACTCCAAGAAATCCAAACTCGAATAGTCCAATCGAAAGATTTCATTCGACACTATGTGAAAGTATAACGAGTTACGAATTTAAAACTCCAAAATCCGAATAAGAATATTATTGATCCAATGTCAATCGCTATATTGAATTATGACAACAGTATACTCATAGTACAATGAATCACACCCCTTTTCAAGTGATTAGAGGAGAATTGAATTATGCCATACCAATTGAACAAACAGAATAGTTATTTATGATATAAGTGCTAAAAGTGACATTTTATTTTATGAAAAGGGAAGTTTGGGACACGACGCCGAAGGCTGTGTTTCATTCCTTTAAACAAAATAAAATCACTTTTAGCATGAATATCATACACTATTTTTTCTACAAACGCACTAAAAGTGATTACTTTTAGCACTCAGTGCTAAAAGTAATCACTTTTAACACCAATGTCATAAAATGGCATTTTAGACACTGACAGCATCCGTTAAAAATGACACGTTTAGTGACGTTTGTAGATAAAATAAACTAACAACTGATTATATAACAAGTTTGGCAGAATCCCTCACAAATTTGAATGAAGAGATTCAAGAAAAACTATTGGCGAAACAAACAAAGTCTTTAGAATCACGCAGTAAAAATTGTGAACTCGAACCAGAGTAACAGGATCCAATCTTCGTAAAACAATTTAACACGTTCTGGCCACTCACGCGTTTGACTGGACATGTGGCCAATGCTCCCGACGCGTTCACGCGTTTTTATACAGGGTGGAATTTTTAAATGGAATAAAATTAGTATCAGAAAACCTGTTTATTTTCTGGAAAAATAAAAAAAAAACGGGTCCTTTATTTTTAGTTTGGCACATGTTTTCGGCCTTTTATGGAATTTACCCCTCTCTTAAGGGTAGAAACCACCCCCAACTTTTTTTTTTAAATGTTAAGATATGTATTGTGATATCTCGTTGGAATGGGCATAAAAATGGAAAATTACCCATTATTTACTTTTGCATTTCGTTGACCTAGGAAGGGAAAAAAAAATTAAAACATATTTTTCCACACAATTTTTTTACAGTTAAATTTGTTGAGTATCTTCAGCATTTCTTCTTGGTAGAACCCTAATGTGAAACAAGCCCCATTTGTAACGTTATGTAATTATTTCTGAGGTTAACACACTATTTGATGTCTGATAGTCGGATTCTCAACCCTAAAATAGTGCGTTAATGTCAAAAATAATTACATAACTAGATCACCGAAATGCAAAAGTAAATAATGGGTCATATTCCTTTTTTTATGCCCATTCCAACGAGCTATCACAATACATATCTTTACATTTGAAAAAAGAAAGTTGGGGGTGGTTTCTATCCTTAAGAGAATTCCATGAAAAGGCCGAAAAAATTTGCCAAACTAAAAATAAAGTGACCCGTTTTTTTTTATTTTTCCAGAAAATAAACAGGCTTTCTGATACTTATTTTATTCCATTTAAAAATTCCACCCTGTATAATTCATTATACACGGCGAAAATCTCGGTCTGGCGTTGGCTGCGAGTGAGTTTACGGTAGGACTGGTAGGAGGCGTTGAACAAAATTCGAAAACGTATGGACGATCAAAAAGCATGTCCTAGCAATACAAAAAAGTTTAAGAACGATTTAAATCCTAAAAGAAACTGTCTGATGGGGAATTTGATCGTCTCGTCTCCTACACTCCTCTGATGATGAAATTTACATAACCTATTAAATTTCATGGGTACAGCACAAAAATGGCTCTAGGGAACCCTAGATGCTGAAGACGGCGCAAGATATAATTCTTATATCCAGACACTCAATGACAATAAAAAGACTTTCAATGAAGATCTAAAAACACATGCTCAAGTATTGAAACAAGTTACAAAAACATTTCACAATCATTTCCTAACTATTGAATCTAACCAAAAGGTTATCACAGGAAAATTACAAAATATTTTCTTGGAAAACCAAAATTTCCATTCAATGTTTACCTTTAATTTAATATTAAATAATATCAACATCCAAAGTAATAAAATAAGGAATCTTATTGATCATGTGCAATTGGGAATATTACATTATACTATTTTACATCATAATGACAAATATTAACAAATATGTATACCCAAAAGTCAACAAATACCTTTTGATAATAAAATCAAGTACTATGAGGCAATGAATACTCTAATAAAAATCCAAAATGAGTTAATTAAATTTGTTATACATACACCAATGATCAACCCCGAGCCCTTTATATTGTATAAAATTTATCCAATTCCTATCCAAGAACTTACCATTCGGAATAAGTACCCTTACCTATTACTTAGTACAGACATTTACTACAATACTTTATGGGAATGCCCAAAAGTTGAAAATGTGTACCTTTGTAACCAAGAAGAGCTCAACCAAGAAGAATCATGTGTCTAAGACCTGATTACTGATGGACCACAACAATGTCCTTGAAACGATTCCTGAATGGACAACTATTAGTCATTCTTAAGAAAAGTCTGACGATAGTTACCCAATGTGACAAGACAAACCATATGGATATTATTATAACCAATCCAATACTAGTTTCTTTTGAAAAATGCTTTGAAAAAATATAAAATCAAACATTTTCTAAAAACAGTGAGAACTTCAATTTTGAACTGAAGATTCTAAAAATCACACAAGACATCCCCGAACTTCCAGTGAATGAAATGACATTGGAACTTCAAGATATCAACCAAGAAGCCCTAGAAGAAGCCTCCAAGAACTGTCATTTGAATACATATTTATTCATAGGTTTGTCTTGCTGTTTTAATCATAATTTTAAGGTTTACTGTTTTAAGAAATTTAGATCAAACGGCCGAACCTTCCCAAACGCTGTCGAACCCAAATCAAATTTTTGGTATGGAGGTGCACATCCAATTGCTTCCAACGCCAAATCTCAACGGGCAAGATTCTTGGGTTGCGATGCTCGGCGTTGGAATCTGATCTGTATGCGGCTTCACACATCTTTCACATGCTTCAATGAGCTTACCACCTTCCTCTATGATTTTTCATGTATTGTTGTAAAGTAAACATCAAGTTGCTAAATCAGTATTAAATTATTACTATTTAAGCCAGTGCAGTCCCATAAGGAATTTTCATTTGTTTTCAAGCTTTTGCTATAGCAACTTGTCCAACTATTTTCTTTTATCACCTCTGTATTCCAAATAATATTTTTTTCCTACAGCAGTGCGGAAAAATCGATTTTCCGCACTGATATGCGTGCGGAAAATGAGTTTTCCCGCACGGTGCGGTAAAACTTTTTTTTTGACATATCAGTGCGGAAAAAGTTTTTCCGCACGGCTGTCAGTGCGGAAAAAATTTTACCGCACTGATATGTCAAAAAAAAAAAGAAAAATTTTATATTTTTTCGCCTGTAGGAAAAATATTGTACCTAACACTTGCGGAAAATGAATTTTTCCGCACTTGTTAGGTAAATAGCTATTTCCTAAGTTTCCTAATCGAAAAAAAAACTAGCTCACATAGGTAGGTAAGGTTAATTATTTTAAAAATTACCTTGAAGTTAGAGCAGCTGCAAACGGAGACAAACCACTCTTATCCAAAACACTAAGATCGATTTCAGGTACAGTTAAAAGTAACGAAATTATTTCATCTTGTTGATTTTCAATAGCAGTATGTAATGGGGTCCTCAGGCTTGCATCTCGAACATTTACATTAGCCCTATGCTCTATTAGGGCCCTAAAAAAAATGTTACAAATTTAGCCTCCGATTTTTTTAATACTGTTTTGATTACCTGGCAACGGGTTCTAGACCCCACTGACAACACAAATGCAATGGACTCTGGCCATCTTTAACTTCATCGCCACCTTCTCCATTAGGTCCAGCCAATCTAAATGAAATAATAATAACATTAACATTATTATTGAACAAGCGTTTGCTGTGGTGTGTTCGATATTGTAAGAGAACATCGTCCAAAAGAAACTATTACTGGATATACTTTCATTGCCGATACTTTGAACAAAGTTATTTAATGAAGCCTCATATTATGTAAAATAATAGTAGATTATACCACGAGTCAATAATGATAGCTATTATTCCCAAGGATTATTACGAACTGAGCCGCGTTAGCGGCGAGGGAGTAACATTCCGAGGGAATAATAGCCATTATTGCGAGTAGTATACTCTACTTTATTTACGACAAATTAATATATTTGAAATTTTCAATGAACAAATTTCATCCGTCTCATAATTTTCAATACAAATCCACAAGCACTACACGTTTGACACTTTTGAAGAATAATGACCATTAATCCCGCTACTCGTCATTATTCCCTGGAGGAATAACATATGTCATTATACTGCCAAAATGACAAATATAATGCGCACATTATACATTAGTCGTAAATAAAAATCTCTTATTATTACCTAGGTGACTCCAAGTCACATCCGGACCTAATAAGAAAAATAGCAGCATTTTCCTTGTTTTCATCAATAGCTCTATGCAGAATAGTTTGTTTGCAACCTTCAGGTCCCGGACCCCAACAGTCAGTGTCAGCTCCGTGCCTCACCAAAATACTGGCAATGTCTTCTTGATCTGAATCCAAGGCAGCCCATAAAGCACAATCGCCTAGGCGGTCTGGTGCAGACATATCTACACCTTTGGTGCAAAGTGCGTCGACTACTTCGGGAAGTCTACAATGGATGGCTAGCTGTAATGGAGATTCGTTTTCTGATGTCAGGGCGTTTATGTCCACGCCTTGCTGGAGCAAATAGACTGCCGTAGAAGCGTCTTCTTTTAATATAGCTTGATGAAGTAGGGTGAAGTCTTTGCCATTTCTTACGTTTATGTCAGCTTTGCCTTTAATTAATAAAGGTACAAGGTCTTTGAATCGTAGATTTAAGGCCAGACTAATGGGGGTATCTCCGTTGATGTCTCTTTGGTTGAAATTCACTGCTAATCTAAATAAAAAAACGCTTGCAAGTTGTATTGGGTAAGTTGTCATTATTCAACAAACCTTTTTTCATCGCCATTACTATTATCCTTCTCTTCCAAAGCCTTATTATGATCTATTAATGCCTCTATACATACTGCTGCATTATTTTTAACAGCATAATGCAACGGGGACTGCCTTAATTCGTTTGTCAACATATTCGGATTAGCTCCTAGACTAACCTAAACAAAGATAATTGCAACAAAATTTCATAATAAATGTTTAATCCTAACCAGTGTTTCGACTAAATCCTCAAAAGCCCTCTCACAAGCCAGATGCAAGGCGGTTTCGCCTTCCACGTTGACGTGATTCAAATTTCGCACGTGCGCAGCCAGATGCGCAGCACCTCGTCTCACAGCATTGAGCACCAGAGTTTGGAGCAGGTCGGCGCATGCGTGTGACGAGTAGAGGGGGTCAGTTTGCGCGCCGATGCTAAGAAGTGCTTCTGCATAGTGGGACACGTCCATTTCGTACTTGTTGTAGGCGTAGTAGAGGGCGGGATGCTCGTCGTTTGTCTTTATGTTGGGATTTATTTGATCCTAGAGAAAGATATTTGAGTAAAAAATCAGATTTTTGCTATTTTTCCATTTTACCAATGTTATTGCTTATTATTTCTGAACGAAATGCGGATATACCTGAAAAAAAGAGGCTGTTTCCTGGTTTTTAAAGCCTCACCAAAGCCTGAAATTTAGCTAATACATTGATGGTGCTCCTATGCACTCCCAATACAGTGAATTTCTTCAAAGATGAAAAACTAGTCAGGGATATTGTGGAGCAAGGGTAGCAAAAATAAAATGGCGACATAGCCAGGTACGATGACGACAGATGGACACGAAAAAGATGGGTGGATGACATAAAGACAAGAGGATACAAGATATTAAAGAAGCAACATCGTCATAGTGCAGTAATAACTGTGAAAAATAGGCTCGAAGTTTTCTTGCTAGTGAATTACAGCAGAAGATAGGAGGATTATAGGAGGTCAAACTTTTAGGATATGTTACTCACGTGTTTTATAAGCATATCAAATATAGCGGCGTTGTCAGCTTGTACAGCAATATGCAACGCCGTGTAGCCGAGTTTATTTTGCCCGTTAACGTTGACGTTTTTGTTTAGCAACTTTTCAGCAATCTTTTCCGAATCTTCCAGGTCGGGAGAGCCAGCAACCAGATGTAGTGCCGAGTCGTTTTCGTTTCTTGTAGTTAGAGTCGCGTCGCAGTTGCTGTCCAATAAAAATAGTGCTGCAAAACTGTCAGCTCGCTTGACGGCTCTATGTAACAGAGACTCGCCTTGGGAGTCTCGGATGTTGACGTCAGCGTTGTGTTGGACGAGGGTCGAGGCGACGCTGTCGTTTTTTCCCCTTAGAGCCAGTTCCAGAGGCAGGTCGCCTTGTTGGGACCAGACATTGACCACATCTGAAAGCTAAAAAAAATATTATGAGATGATTCATCTGAACAGTGAATATTTTTATAGCTTCAAAAAAATTTAGAGGAATTTTTATGGATTAATTTTTGTTTTAATACACATAGGTATACGGTATACATAATAGCATATTTTATGGAAATCCCTAAAGTTCTGTCCAAAACTATTTTTTGACTATTCCAAGGATGCAAATAAATTTGGTTATGCAGGATTTGAATTCGTGAACAGTTGATTGCCTCTTATATCTTGGAATGATCGAGGGAATAATGTATTTATCCATTTACGGGATAACCCCATTACCGAAGAAATTATACAATAATCAACAAAGGCCAGGCAAACATAAGCACTAGAAGCAAAATGTCGCCTAACAATAGGTTTTAAAATGAGTGCAAAAACAATAAATACGAATTCAAAAAATAAAAAATAAATCAAAATCAGTAAAGTAAACATAAGTAGTCTAAAAATTATGCAGTAGTCAAAAAATTATGAAAGCACAATAAGTAGGAAATAATTACTTAGTTTCTGTGGTACTAGGTATTATAGTAGCTTTGATAGGAACAGTAAAAAATTAAGGTACATTTAACACATTATGGCAGATTGTCTTAAATTGAGCTAGTTTCACATTAAACATATCAATATCAAGATTATTTAACATAGATAGATATCTGATAATTGGACTGTTAGCGCCATAGGATGTTCTACGAAAAGGAATGGTAAACGTATTATGATATCTCAGACCATGATAATAAAGCACATTTAGGCTAATATGGCTTAAAAGGGTAGGACAATCAATAATTCCATTAACTATTTTATATAAAAATATCAAGCCAAACAAGTCCCGTCGCTCAGTTAGGGTAGGTAATTTTAATTTCATTTCCATGGCTTTTGGTGGTTTTGATAAAATGAGGACCATATAACTGAACAATACTCAAGCAATGATCTTACCAAGGAACAATAGATCATTCTGGTGGCTTGATAGAAAAATACTTAGAGTTTCTTATGACGAACCCCAGCATTTTTGAAGCTTTGAGAGAGACTGAATTTATATGCTCAATAAACGAAAGTTTCTCATCAAAAATAACACTCAGATCTCCAAATGATGATCTATATTCAAGCCGTTGATCACTGATATGGTAGTCAGTCATGATCCTGTCAGGTTTACGTGTAAAACTTATGTAACAACATTTTTTTACGTTTAGGTTTAGCTTGTTTTTTTTTTACACCAATCTGAAAGACGATTCTGGTCCTCCTGAAGGAGTACTTGATCAGAAGTACTTTCGATGATCCTCCAAAACTTGAGATCATCGGCAAACATGGAACAATGGCTCCCCAAGAAACAGTCGGCGATGTCATTTACAAAAATGTTGAACAAAAGAGTTGAACTATGGCCCCCCAATGTAACATTGATTGTATCCGAGTAATAATAACCTATTTTAACTTTCTGAATTCTATCTGTGAGCGAGCTCTTCCACCACAGCACCAAGTCAGGGTTAAAACCTATTTGAAGTAACTTGTTAAGCAGAATTTTTTGATGACACGATCAAAACCCTTTGAAAAATCTGTGTAGATAGAATCAGTTTGTTTTCTGTCCACCATGTTATGCAGAATATCTAGCTGATAGGTTTTCAAATTGGACACCACCGACTTGCCCTTCGAAAAGTCATGCCGCTCTTGACGAATAAGGCCCTTACACTGCCAAGTAACCTGCTTGGTGACAAGGCAATCAAATATCTTAGGTATCGCGGACTGTATGCATGTGCTTCGGTAATTCTCAACGTTGTCCTTTTGGCCCCTTTTAAAAATCGGAACGATATTACTCTCTTTCCATACACTAGGAAAAACTGAGGATTGTAGAGACTTGTTGAAAAGTAGATATAAGGGTGACACTATGGTGCAAACACATTTAGAAATTGTGGATGCCGTCAGGTCCTGAGGATAATTTATTAGGAACATTTGAGATTTCATTGAAGATGTCAATTTTTGAAATTACAGTGTAGTTTCTGTTGCTATAGTCGTATTCACGATAAAGTTTGAATTTTGACCGTTATTTTCACCAGTTGAAAATAAATAAAATCCCCAGATCTGTCCCTTTTTCTGACAACTATCAAATAATGATACATGACATTTTGATTTGACACATAAAAATATCAGATTCGGGTCTTTGAATTTTGAATTTCGAATTTTTGTGTAAAATCTTTCAGTTTTTTGCCCTTTTCTACATTATTTTTTTATTTTGTTATTATCACAATCGGTTTTCTGGTTTTTTATGTAGTGTTCTGTGCCTTTGTGTTTCGGTGTTGCGTTTCAAACCTGGTTTTAGTTTGGATTTAACTGTTTACTCTTTATTATAAGTGTTTACTTTGGACTCTAATTTTAGGATTTTTGGATTTTAATAACTTAACTTCCTTTGAAGAAATTGAAAATAAATTTTCCTACAGCCGTGCGGAAAAATCGATTTTCCGCACTGATATGCGTACGGAAAATGAGTTTTCCCGCACGGTGCGATAAAACTTTTTTTTTTGACATATCAGTGCGGAAAAAGTTTTTCCGCACGGCTGTCAGTGCGGAAAAAATTTTACCGCACTGATATGTCAAAAAAAAAAGAAAAATTTTAAATTTTTTCGCCTGTAGGAAAAATATTGTACCTAACACTTGCGGAAAATATTTTTCCGCACTCGGCTGCCGTTCACCGAACGACGCGTAGCGGAGTTCGGTGAACAATTTGGTTTAGTGAAAAATTCATTTTCCGCACTTGTTAGGTAAATAGCTATTTTATTCTGAAATGTATATCACTTTTCTAAATACGACCCTGTCGTTTATCCCAGCTGACGGAATCGAAGCGCTAACGCATGCTGACAACCTAAAGAAAAAGTTTACTAAAAATGTCAACGCGAACTGTCAACTTCACTTTCTATCGTGATTTGGTCTATACTGAGAGTCTCTTACATTCTGAACGCAATTCAGAAAACCTTAAATAACTAATATTGGAATGCTCTTTTTTGTAGACAGCATGTGCAAGTTTTTTTTTCTAAAGTCATCCTACGTAAGTCAGCAGAAAACCATTTTGGAAAAGTATAGGTGCGGTATTTTTTAAGAGGAATAAAGTAGGCAATGCCAATTAACAGAAGTTCATAAAATAAGTTGGTTGCCTCATTGACATTAATATTAATATTTTCAAGACACTTAACCTAGTCAATGGGTGCCAAATAATTGTTTAATTCTATGTAGTTACCACTCCTGAATAGTAATAACTGATAGTAAAATTCGTTGTACATTAAATCGTTAAACTTAATTTTTGTAGAATGTGTTATTGTATATAATAAATAAGGTGAAAGCTTTCTGTGTTTTTGTTATTTCTAAATCTGAAACAAGTCTTCCAAATTCTTCCAATTGAATTTTGTCCTCCTGCGAATGGGTAAAGGTTTTATTAATAAATTGCTAATTTTAAAAATCTACAAGTGTGCGGTAACTAAGGTATATTAAACGCTTTTGCGTGCGGTAAGTACCACATTACCGCACGGCGTGCGGTAATATTATTACCGCATGCTCTACCTATATAGGTACTTACCTTCAATTACCTACCAGTGATAAATTACCTACCTATCACCTAAATTCTACTTGTCCGCTGTCAAAGGTGACACGCAATTTTTTTTTATAATTTTTTAAATTCCTTCCGGATATTTTGTTACCGCACGCTTGTAGATAAAATAATGTATATAGAACGTATGGTAATTAGGTTATTACCGCCCTTAGAGATTGCAAACCTCGCCGCACCGGCTCGGTTTGCAAATTTCTCTCGCGTGCGTTAATAACCTAGTTACCACACTTATTATATAATATACTATTATTTTACCTAAGAGCGTGCGGTAAAGTGCACTTTACCGTACGTATTTGCAATTTACCGCACAGTGTGCGGTAAAGTGGACTACAAAGTGTGCGGTGAAGTGCACTTTACCGCATAGCGTGCGGTAAAGTAGAATTTGATATTTATAATCAAAAATCCTTCCTTTTTCAGAAAATGGATTTTTGATAATTTCTAAATCTAATCTAATTTCATTTATTAATCTAATTCAATAATTAATTTTATCAATGCCTTTTTTTGGAGATGTAGAAGCTCATAGGTAAAATGTTGTACCGAACACATGCGGAAAGTGCCATTACCGCCGCAAACTGCCGTTGCGTGCGGTAAAGTATCACTTTCCGCATTTGTTAGGTAAATAACTATTGCCTAATGTCTATTTATTGGTAAAAAATACTAATTTGAATTCCAATTACCGACCCGCCGATGCATTTACGCACTACACATCTCCCGTCAGCATCTAAACATTCCGGTATAGGATTCGGCACCTAGGCATATTTCATTGGTCCGTTTGAATTCGGACCGCCAATTGATGCGGAGTGCCGAAATCGGTACTTGAATGTTGAACGGTGCTGAGCCTCAGGTCCGAATGGTCCATTAGCAACAGCCATGTGGAGTGCCGAATCTAAGGTCAAAATGTTAAACAGTGCTGAGTATCAGGTCCTAATGTTGCCATGCGTTTGGCGCGGTTTTTATATTAAATCAGCTGTCCACCTCCTTCGTGTTCCTCTTAGCTACAATTTTGCGGCGGATGCGGTTTATTTCGCCGTTGCTTCATGTGTTCTTGTGCTTAAACATGCAAGATGAGTTTGCCTGGATCATTTAAACACTTTCAATGTGGTGAGCAAATTTACCGAGCCAACATTTTGGAGGAAAACGTTATAAAGCAATGGATAGAAGAGTATAGTGATACCTAATACACGAATTGGAATGTGAAGTCAACGAAAAATAATTATAACAGATTCAAATGCAGGTTTGTGTTCAATGTAAGTTCAATGACGTAGAATTTGGAAAATAAATTTTTTAGATATGTTTTTGTATGCCATCATAGTGCTTATAAAAAAGTGGATCAAGGAAATAATAAGTAAGGAAAATCCAAAAACTGCTGTTGCCTGGCTTCAATTGATATTTTAATTAAACT